TCCAGCCTTTTCCTTTCTATCCATCCTCCTAGCCCTTTAGTCATAATTTCACTTGCCTTCTTTGTTTGTCTTCACCTGACCTTTTGGAGGATGAAGCATAGAGGAAGAGGCAGAGGTATTGAAAGAGACATGGAGAGATTGTTGGTGAGGACTGGATGAGGGGGAATAGTTTTAATTTAGAAAACCCCAAAGCCTAGAAACACCTCTTCTTTCCATTTTCAATGTAACCTTGCTTTATAAGTATCTGCTCTTGAATCTTTACTTTGCTCGTGGTCCCCTTCCCTGCGTGCACACATTGTGAGGCCAACACGTGCTGCCGCTCGCTCCCTGCCTATGCCCTGCCCTGCCTTGTCTCCTTGGGCAGCTCTTCTGGCAGAGGACAGTCTGTTCCGTAGCACGTCCTGCATGATGCCTCTTGCTCTCGCTTGGTCACTAGGCACTGTACTAACTGATGACAAAATCGATTCCTTGGGGGTCTGCTCTTCAGAGCGTCACTTTGAAAATTGTCAACAAAGAAGCTTTTCTGCCAGCCTGGCTTCCTATGGCTTTGTCCAACGCTGCTGATGCCCCACAGTGACGACAATCGGTTTTCTTCTTGCGACCGCTTCACTGCCAGTGCTCTGCGACGTTCCTCATCATATTCTCCGCTCCTTCCCTTGTGTCCTGCACACATCTGCACCTTCTCATCCCGCTGAAATACCACCAGATCCTTCTGGTATCCTCTACCTGTGTGGCTTGGCACGTGGTCTCGTGTGGCTGCGCCTGGCTAGGAGCTTCACATGTGCTGGTTGGGGTTTGGAGATCAAAGAAGGCAGATGGCTCTTGAGCTCATTCTGAAGCGTTTCCAGCAATGTCACTCTAATTTGAGGCTTGCTCTACCCTGCTGTTGATTTTTCCTGAAAGATATATGGGCTTGCCTCTTTGAGTCTTCCGTTCCTCTGTCAGATGTGGTTGAAGCTGGCTAGAGATTCAGCAGATAATCAGGGCAGTCTCAGGAGGTCAGGCTGGGACGGGGTTATCTTCAGTCTAATTTCTAGGGAAGCCAGGTTAACCAGAAGTGAAACCCACGGAAAGGTGGCAAGAGAGGTATTGTTTTATTTGTGCCCGTAGGAGGAATGATGCGGGGCACTGCGATTCTCAGGCTTGTTGACCATGTCCTTGCAAGATTTGCCACCGAGTGCTGGAACTACCAGCTTGCTGGTGTGTAGCTTTTGGTTTAAGTTCAAGCTGAAAGCTGTTCACTGGTGGTTGAGCTTCAGAAAGGTGATGCGTGTGAGCAGTTGGATCCTTGCTGAACTACATATGAAAATGAGTTGGATGTTATCTTGGGTACAGAGGGCCGAAAGAAAGTAGAAATCCTGGATGCACAGATCTTCCTTTGGGGTTTTTGGCATGTGGGTCTCCTGTATTTGGCCATGGTTTTACTATTGTCCTCCAGCATATAACAGAAAAGTAGCTTTTGCAACATGAGAATCTGTGTAGAGTAGCTGCTAAATTCAGGAATAAACTTGACAATGGAAATTTGATTTTTAAGTTGTTTTCTTCATTTTACAGTGCTTAAAGTTCTTGAGTTATGAACTAGAGGTGGGGGGAAGAGTCAGAAAGGTACCTTGAGAGAGGTAGTGCTCTCCCAGTGTTCATGTACGAGAATGGGGGGTGTTGGTAGGACACCCTCCAGCATCCTCGTTTGTCTTGTGCATGATTCTGACCCGTTGCTCACAACTACACAATGCAGAGCACACAAAGTGGCTGTGGAACGAGGAGCTTGTTGCTCTGACAGCCTCCTCTTGTTTGTAGATTTGAAGGGTCCGTGGTTCTGGAAGAGACTGCAAGACCATCAGGCAGGCAGCTTGCCTTGGCAGTTCAGCATCACTGGTGGGCTGCCCCGCAGTTCAAAAGAAAAACACCGAGCCAGAAAAACAATGAATTTAAAAAATATTTGTAGCCCGCTCCCTGGGAGAAGTTGGTTCTTAGCTTTGGCTTTCTTCTGACTTTTGGGAGGAGCTGCCTTTGCGGCGCTTAGGAAGGTCCTCGCTAGGAGTGAGGTTATCCAGTTATGACAACTTGATTTGAGGACGGGCTTTGCATTAATCGTTCACTGCTTGCGTGTAGCCCAGGGGCCTGCCTCGGCTGGGTGACTGGATTTGGAAGGCTGCTGTTTGTAGCAAGTGTGACGCTTCTTGCTGTGAAGCCAATTTCTGCAGCGATGCAGCTGATACAACATCGGGGCAATCTGTTACAGCACCTTTGTTCCACGGATGTCTGACTGGTGTGAAAAATAACCACAGCACGAGACCTTCCTCAGGAGCATGCCTGCTTCAAGCACAAGGGAGGAAAAATCAAGACCTTGTTCTGTATCTAAAAACAATTCAAAATGTTTTGGGGAAAAACTGACAGAAGTGAAGCTCTGTGAAGTCTTTAGCAGCCTGCACAGATTTACCATGTGTTGTTTTTTTTCTGGAGATCCTTGCTAATCCTCAGACAGCTGTTTAACTGCAACATGGACCCCATTGTTCCTCATTTCTATTCGTATTAAATTAAAAAAAGAGAAGTTGGCAGTAGGTTTTTACCCAGTTAACATGTTTACTGTCCATATGTTCCTTGCAGGTACGTTTTGTGACACTTTAAAGGTCTCAAGCAATCCAAGTCTTCACTTTTCTTTAAAAAAGGACACAAATTACTTCAATACTCTTTAGATGCTCAATTATGTTATGCTAGTTGCTGATTCTGTCAAATCCATACAGTTTCTGAATCTGTTATGCCCTCAGACGTGGAAATGCTGGGTTTCTATCAGCCTTTACACACTTTGGGTGAACTCCAGGCCCTGTGCAAGTCGGTTTTAGCTTGTGGCTTCAGGAAGCCCTGAGCTTCTCAGGAGCTCTGGTGCCCTTTCTGTAGCAATGTTCTCGTGTCGCTTTGTGATATGCAGGTTGTGTAGAACTGAAACTGCAATTATAATGGAGTGCACTAAAAGGAAATAGTAAGAACAGCATATGTGATGCAGAGGATGCTGCTTTCCCTCAATCTGTCTAATGATTTCAAAGAAGAAAGCAGGAAAGTGTTATATATTATTTTCTATGCATGCAGTGTTGAGATTTCCAGTACCAGTCCACTGTTCACCATTTAACTCGTGCTTTCCCTGCCTGCCGGTTCTGTTTGGTCAGTACAGCAGTGCTGATTTTCTGCCATGGTTACAGGGACAGCTTCTTGTGCTTCCTGCTCTTGCCCTTCCCTTCGCTATCCCGTGTCCTGCCTCACTTCCCCAGCTCTTCCCTTCCACCGCTCACATGGTCTCTGTTCCCACGCCCTCCTTCGCAAGGTGGCTCCTGGAAGGTGCTGGGGTCTGGTAAGGAGCACGCTGCCTTCGCTTACCTTGCACATCTGGAGTTGTTCCCCTGGTTGCTCGCTTCGCTTCATTTGCCTGTGCTTTGCTGTCCAGGATCACTTCCCTCCTCCTCTTCCTACCAACAAAATGCAACGTACGGTACCTAACGTACGGTGTGCTGGGCTCCTTCTGCTTCGTGGCTGTATGGGACTTAGCAGCTGTGGTTTGGCCTTCACCGTGCTAAAGATCCACCGAGTGGCACAGGGTTTAGGGTGATTTCATCGTGTTTCGAGGACTGGTTTCTATCTTGGAATCAAATGTTGGATGTTGTAGGCTTATAGTCATTTGGACACGATAAAATACAAGTCGAGGGATGGATTGGCTCAGCCTTCCCTCGGGTGTTTGGGCAGCATTGCGTAGGGTCGTGGCTTTGCTCTGGCGTGCTAGAACACGCGTGCTTTACGGAGCATCAAACGCAGCAGTGAAGTGGTGGGTGCTCAAGCAACTCCCAGGCTCTGCCAGAGCCACGTGAATCATGCGTGTTGTGAACGGGAGATGTGCCACACAAGCACAGTGAGGCCAAAGGAGAGCGAGGAGGGGTTACTCTGACAGGTAGGAAGAAGAGTCGTCTGCTTTGCAGGGGTTTGGAACCCAAAGGCTCCATTTCCTCTTGAATTTTAAGTGTGTAGGGAGGAGCAGCCCCTCCCATCTGCTGTGCTGCCTGCTACATATAGTTTTTCTTGGCCACATATCAGGATTATCAGTAAAGCTGTCGAGAACCTTTGACATCAGCTTCGTAAGGCGAATATCATGTTGGAAATTGCCTCAGGTAATTAATTAATTCTTCTGTAAATAGAAGGCTTGATATGCATCAGTGGTGCTGTGGGATGTTTCTCAAGAGGGAAATAAACTCTCCAGCAGGGCCCATAGTGAGCAGCAAAGCGCTCTTCGTATGCAGGAGGCTCATTATCCTTCCAGTTTAATTTTACAAGGAAACAAAAATACAGTCTCCATCTTGGCGGGTTATATTAGCGGGAACGTACGGCTGTTGACGAACCCCTCAGGGACGCGCGTGTCGGCTGGAGCGCTCGGGTGAACACGCCTTGCTCTGGTTGCGGGGCAGAGGCAGCCCAAGCTGCCCAGCCCGGCTGAGCGCTGCCGTGCTTCGTCGTGCGCGGGCTCTGCAGCTTAGGAGTCGGAAGCAAAGCACAGTCGTGTCGGCACTGCGAGCAGTCTTCCTTCACCGAGTCCCAGAGTGCTTCTTTGCACGGGGCGTTGGAAGGAGAAGTCCAGAACGTGGGGTGGTTTCTGCCTGTGGTCTCTCCAGGCACACAGAAGACTCGCAGCGGTGCTGGCAGAGCTGGCCTCCCATCCGCCAAGCTGGGAGGAGATCACTTGTTTGGCGTGTTTGCTTGCTTCTCAGCTCACGGCCAGAATAGATATTCCCCAAAGTTTTCAAAGCAAGCTTTTCTTAGAGCTAAAGCTGTTTCTCAATACACTGGGAAACGTGGTGTTTTTTCAGTCATGTTTTACTGAATTTGGTTGGCATAGAGAAGTCACTTCCTTTAAAATAAAACTAATGTATTTACAGATTTCAGCGGAATAGGAGGAGTACAGAAAGGAAAAAAATGTCCTCCTTTTTATTGCTAAAACTGTCTTCTCCACTGACTCCTAGGTTTGGAGGGGCACTTTGGCTCGCCTTCGCTATAAGAGGACAAAGGCTGCCCTCACGATACTCAAGTATTATCGCCGCTACAAAGTGAAGGCCTACATCCGTGAGGTTGCGCGACGCTTTCACAACGTGAGGCAAATGAAGGATTATGGCAAGCACGTGCAGTGGCCCACTCCACCGAAAGTACTGCGCCGGTTTGAAGAGGCACTCCAGACCATTTACCATAGGTACAAAGAAAACCTCTTGTCTTTTCGGTCTGACCTAGAGCAGTGAACAAGCTACTGCTTGTTCCATGAAAGTTGGAAAAATGACTGAAGATCATTAACTGGACGTCATAGTTCAAGATGTGGCTTTTGGTACCCTTGACCAGGCAAATAATTATTCTGTTTCAAAGATTTAGTCAGGACAGACATTGTATTTCCTTACCTTTAGTCAGGACAGACATTGTATTTCCTTCCCTGGCCCCTTTCTGGTTGGTTTCAAAAGAAAAGAGCAGCTGCTGTTAGACGGGAGGGAGAGAAAAGGAAGCTTTTTGACTTCATCAAGACTTCGTACAGTAAGTTAGTACCTTTCTGCAATAGAATAGCAATATTCTAATGTCTATGCATATTCTGTGTGCAGAAGAGGTATTTATACCTTTATTCCAATCTCCTAATATCTAAAAGCTAGTAACTTTTTCTCTGGTAAGTTGTCGACAAAGAAGTTATGACTCCAGTTTGAAAAATGGTGACTTATGAAAGTCACTGAGCAGGAGGACTGTTGGCTGGGTGGGGCCTCTGGAGATCTCCAGTCCAGCCGTCTGCTTGGAGGGGGATTACCACCAGCACTAGATCAAGTCAGCCTTGGTTTTTTCCCGCAGCTGACTCTTGAAAGCCGTCCACAACTGATCTGGGCAGAGAGTCCTGCTTTCTGAATAAGCTCAATTATCATAACTATGAAATTTTAGTTGCTAGAAGACTTTTCACAGCATTAATCCTGGAGACCTGATGTTGCTGCTGACGGCTGGAGCATGCTCTGGAGTAATGGATGGGCTGCCCTGCCCTGTTTCGTGTTACAGTTGGTCAGGTTTCAACTGGAGGGCCAAATTCAGCTATTAAAGGAGACTGATGTTGTAAATGAGCCAAAAAATGGGCTTGCAAAAACTTTATTGCAAACAGATGTGCCAGTAGCTGGCTTCTGGGTACAGGACTAGAAGTCTACCAGCCAAACTTGTTAGGAGTCAGAGATAAGTGACTTTAAAATGATAACGCTTCCAGCTTTATGAATGCAATGGAAAGACTTCTTTTTGCCCTGACATTTGTAGTCTGGGGGTGTCCTTGTTGTGCTGCTCTGGCAGAAGTAGTCCTTATAGTGTGTGGTGCAGACTATGGCACTGATTCGGGCGTCACGTGGCAGGTGGAGAGCAGGTGAACTCATCCGGAGCGTCCCACCAGAAGTCCTACCTCAGCTGAGGGCCAAGGTTGCTGCCATGGAAGTGCTGAAGGGTCACAGAGCTGATATTGGCCTGCAAAGAGCGTGGGAGGGTAATTACATCGCACTGGTGAGTACAAGTGAAGTGATCAGTGCCATGCCTGGGGCTTAGGATGCTGAAAGGGTGGAGATTTGAAAAAGTAACTGTTGGTTTCTTGGGAGGGAGACGTACTTTGAAATTTCCTCTGTAAGTGGGTTTGTATAGTTTCAGAGTCTTTGGCTTCTACTACGCTAGGAGTGATTTTTCTGAATACTAAGCCTGGCTTGAGCATCACAAGCAGCATTAAAAGATAATGCGCAATGCCATCAGCTGGCTCTTCAAATGGCCGAAGCTAGGAAAGAAGTCGATGTAAAACTAACATTCTGGATATAATGGGATGTTAAGAAATACCATAAAATGAAAAGGAACAAAGAAATTCTCTCTAGGCAAGTCGCATTGCTTGCTTTTACCCCGTCCTTCCTTTGAGCATTTTGTTTTGTTAAGGCTTTTTTTCAGAAAGCACATAAAACTCCCGATGCTCTGCCGCTCTCCGGCGAGGCAGAGGCTGGAGGAAGCCCTCGGATGAGGTGTGCGGCTGCAGTCCGCTCTGGCCTGCCCTGACGTAAGGCAATGCCTTTCTCCGGTAAGCGAGAAGAGTGAGGTGCCTGTCTTTGCTCTTTCAGCAGCCGGATAACGCTCAGACCACGGCCTCTTTCATCCCTGTCGCCAATGAACTGAAACGGAAAGACAAGTACATGAACGTTCTCTTCTCCTGCCACGTCCGCAAGGTAACCGGCTTGTGCGTGGTCTGCAGACACTGGGACTGGGTGGGGACACTCCTTGTGGTCGAGATGAAAGCTTGGGAAGCCAAAGGTGAGGAGGCGAGCCTGGGGAGGCTTTAACCGACGGCGGTTGGAAGGAGCCCTGTGCTGAGGAGCAGCATCAGTGAGGTGGTGGTGGGTGCGTAACTCCGAGCCGGCTGCGCCGCAGGGTGCTTTGTGCCAGGGGCGGCTGCGGCCTCCGCGTGTCGCAGGCGTGAGTGGATTCCCTTGGTCCTGGGCAGCTGCTGTGGATCAGACATCTTTTGTAGCAGAATGGTTTTCTTGTTAAACTGGTTGGAAGGTTTAACGAACTAATTAAAAAAAGTGCTTGCATAAATTTTTATGGGTAGTTCATAATGATCTAAATCATGCTGGTTTTAAATGTCTGTCAGGAGAGGACATTTTGAATTTTACAAAGTCAACAGACAAAAGCAATTTCAATGGCTGGCCGGGGCTGCTGATGTTCAAGGGTTTTTAAGAAGCTATATTTTCCTTTTATTTCTAAAAATGTGCTATTGCAATTGGTCCCCACTTGCCAGAAGTGGAGCATGTGCATGATTATTGTTTATGAGTCTGCAAATATTGTATTTAATAGTAACAACAAAATTCATTTTGCAGCATAAAAATTCATTTTGCAGCATAAAATCTCACTTTATAACAAAACTTCTTTGTTAGTGGTAGTGAGTTACATTCTTTATAAAACCGTGATGAGTGTGTATAAAAATAGAAATCTCTTATTGCTGTCCAAACAGACATATTTCAGCGCAGTATTCTGTTATTTGTAACAAGTTCTCTTCAGTAGTGTGGTTCGCTCGTTGAATGAGCCGCTAGAGTGAGCACCGGTTTCTGTCGTCAGGATTAGAGGAGCATCGGGTGAGTCTGTACCCACACCTCCTCCTCACAATCTCGCTGGAACCTCCGTTAGGGACGAGGAGATACAGGAGGATTTCGCCCTGGCTTTTTTCACTGTAGGCTGAAAGCAAAATAATTCCTCTTCTAACTCATTTAATGCACTAGTTCCAGGTTGTTGCTGTTTCTAGCTAAACTGGAATAATTGTAAAAATACAGTGTTCAGCTCTTAAATATGAGATCATAGGAATTGTTGTTTTGAATGGGAGTGGAATGACGGTGAGGGGAGTTCCTCGGGAGCGGTGTATAATATATGTGTACCCGCTGTGGGAGTTTAGTTTTGCTCACTGTTATGCAACTTTTAAGCTGTTAAATCCTTCTGTTTCTCTCGCTTGCTCCCGATTCAGCTGTGAAAGACAATCTGCTGGGCAGGCACAGGGGCAGGGTTCTGAAGCACAGCTCCATACCTGATCCTGGTTAGTAACGGCAAGCGCAGAGCTCCTGAGCACGGTTTGCGTTGTTTGTGGAGTAGGCAGAAAGCCTTGAGCGTGCAAACAGGCCTTGCTTCTGTACATCCTGTCGCTGTCTTCACTTGTTGGAAAAATCCGTTTTCTGCTGCGGTTTGTTGCGTCGGTGTCCCAGCGCTTCCATCATAAAAGCTCTCTGGAGACAGAATAGGTGTTACCTGTCATAAAGTGGATTTCTTCCCGAGCCTGAAAGGCTGCTTTCAGAGGTGAAGAAAGCTGTAGCTATTTTAGGTGTTTAAAAATGTAGTTCGGCTGAAATCAGAAAATACTGCAGAGACTGCGAGGTTAGAGACTTGCGGTCTGGTGTTTTTTCAACGCTCTTGTAGCTTTTTGGATCTTTTTAAAGGTTGAATTGGTGGTCGCTTGCTTCTATCAGAGAGGTCAGGCTTAATCCTCCGCTTGCCTGCCCAGGTAGGGATACCTTTGCGTGGGTTCTGAAATCACTGGTGAAGGAAGCAGATGCATGAGCACGAAGGCTACGCGGAGCCGAGCCGGCCTGCAGCCGCCGCAGAGGGGTGTGCCCAGAGCAAAAAAAAAACCGCTGCGCACCCGCAGCCCGGCGGCGCCCCGCTCTCTGGAGGCGTCAGTACCTCTGCTGCTCTGCATTCCTAAGGAGCTGTGTTAGACAGAAAAGGTGTAGCTGAATTCAGTGAAAACGAAGACCTTTGGGTCTTAAGGAAGCAAATAGGAGCACCTCTCCTCCGACAACTGGATAAATTCATCTCAGCGTTGCTGTTGGGGACAACACTGCAGCTTTGCAAGGGCCTTAATGATGAGTGCAAGCCCGGGGATTTCAGTACATCTCCATGTTTAAACTCAAAAGCAACTGACCCCTTTCAAATCCATGCTTGGGTGTAATATCTTTTCGAGTGAACCATGTCTCTTCCTGCTTGTATGGCCAAGAAATGTCCAGGCAAGCTTGAAGTGAACAGAGGGGAGAAGACAAACAGTCCTGAACTTTGAAAGCTAACAAGGCAAAGATTTGACATTTCATGATTTACCATTTCACTTTCCAACCCATGCACTGCTTGAGGTGACTGTTGTGCCTTAAATTTGAACATGGGATTTGCAGACTAAGCAACAGTGAAAACTGGTGTGGAGCCAGTGAGCGACTCCATGCTTTGACTACAAGAACCCAGTCTTCACCCTGAAAACAGCATTAGCCTTTTACTCTTCACATAAAACAATTTATCTCCTAAGCTGTCTTTTTAAAACAAAGATGTTTCCCTTGTCTGAAATAGAAGCTGTGGTATTCTGCCTCTTACCCAAAAAGTAACAGTAGCCTGAGGACCAGCTTTCAGTGCCACAGGGTGGGGGGAATGTCTTCTGATGCCACATTCTTCCCTTTTCTTTTGTAAAAAATAAATAAATAAAATCAGCTGTGTTTTTTTTTTCTTTTAGCCTTATCCTTCTTTAACTTCCCTGTGTGATACCAAATGTCATCTGCACAGGGGTGGCACTTGGCGTTAGCACGGCCAGGCTGTCGTGGGGGTCAGAGCACTCGAAAGGGAGCGGCTTTCACTGCGGGAAGTTTGTCGGATTCCTTATGCTAAGCCTGGTTCGTTGTGGATTTGCAAAGTGGCTGTTGCTGGTTGATTCTCAGCAGAACTTTGGCTTATGCAATCCTTTAGCAGGGGGCTGAAGAGTGAGTTACATAAATGAAAATGTATTTAATTACCAGTTGATTTCATTGCTTCCCTTAAATAATGTTCTGCAACTAAGCACCGGTCGCCAGAATAACGTTGCTCACCTTCATTCGTGGTGTGTGTTCATGATTCAGCTTATTTGAGGATTCTTGAGCAAACAAATGTGGTGTTTCTGCTGGTCCCTTAGTCAGGCCGAAAGGCGTTACAGGTAACAAGAGTGCGCTTTGGTGCCTTGAGGTGGATGTTGTGTTTCTGGAGCAGCATCAGGCTTCTGTGGCGGCTCTCAGTAAGGTACCGAGTCATCAGGCCACGTGTGCCGTCGTTCTTGGCTGTCAGCAGCAGCTCTTGAACATTTTCAGATAATTGCAGTCTAATACACTTATTTCCTTGGAAAGAAAAGAAATTAAAAGAAGAAGTATTGGGCAGCTTGAATAGACACAAGTGAAGTCTGGAGTTCGTGTATTTAAAAATGCTTCTGCGTAGAACGTATCTTATGACCTGTAAGATATTTGCTAACCGCCAAATTCTTTGAGACAGATTTTGTGTTTTTTTAGCTGCTGATTGACATTCTGCTAGTGAAGTCAAGGCAGTAATACCAACTCCTGCCAGCCAGGGAACTGCTCTTGAAGAATTGATAACTGCTGCTGAAGTCTTCTTTAGCTTGAGTGCGTGGGGTCTTAATTGCAACAGCTTGAGATGAATAATAACGGGTGAATCTGTTTGGACCGGAGCTCTGATAGCTCTTTTTATAGAAGGCCTGTGAAGAGACGTTGAAGCCTCGCTGATGGGAGGTGCATGTGCTCGCTTCCTCGCAGGAGGTATAGCTAGGAGCAGGTCATTGCTGCCTATGGAAAAGTACATCTGTTCCGAGCAATGTGGTGGTCTTCACTTTTTCAAAGGAAATTTTCAAGTTTTTTGCCTTGGAAACCAAGTGGATATTTCCTGCATATCACCAGGTTTTGTTGTATCACCTAGGAAACAACAGTTGCTCCCTTTTTTTGTTGATTTTATATTTCAGAGGAAGGCTTTTCTTCCCACTTTCTCCATGTCGTTCGTGGCACCAAGCTCCTTTGAGAGGATGATCTCTTCCAAAGCCCCATGCCCTGCAGCGTCTGCAGACCCAGGGCAGAGACCTGAGAAGCTCATCTGCAGGTTTTTCTGCTATAGGCTAGGCTTTCGTTTTCCCTGTAAGCTAGTCAGGAAGCTAAATTAAGACTGATTCACATTTGGATCGACAAAGATATAAATAAAAAATGCCCAGAAGGTGCAGAGAACACAATGCTAGGAAGGGCTGTTCTCCGGGAGGGTAGAAGCTGTATCTGAGAACAGAAGGCCTGTCTCTGCTCCTACAAAATCAGAAGAATAGTGGCATTTGCAATGGTGCTGGCGTTTGTCCGAATCTCTTCTGTGCATGCTTCCCAAAGTGACAGTTTACTGCTAAAAACACAGCATGTATTATTTACATAAATATGCCGTGAGACACCTGAAGCAAAGCGATTGCTTGGAAAGAGCTGAAAAGAACACGAGTTCCAGGGCAGCAAGACTTTGCTTCTCACATGAGATAAGCTGCTGGACTTCCCCTTCGGCACGTCTCTTTAGCTGTTCAGCTGAATTTGTTGCTCACTGCGAGCGCTAAAAACAGTGGGTAACCACAAGAAAGAAGTGGAATTTAAAACGTGCTTGTAGAACTACTGCAATATTATATCGGTTTGTCCCCGTGGGCTCCGTGCTGGAGGTGGGCACGGACAACAGGGAGGACGTCGTGATGGGAGATGGGAGTAGCAAGTGGGATCATGGCAGTGAACACGTGGTGTGGTCAGAGACTCTTAAAAAAATAAACCAAAAAGACATGTTTGGGAGCCAGGGCCACACAGCGTCAGATCTGAGGTCAGCGTGGGGCAGGTCACACCTCACAGACTGGAGAAGCCTTTGCTTGAACTCCAGAGGTGGGGAGCGTGGCGTGCTGCAAACTGCACGGCCAGGGTGCGGTGTGAGGAGCCTGTGCTGCTCCGCTCAGACGACTCCCTGCGTAGCACCAGGCACCCCTAGCCCGCTTTCTTTGGGCCAGTCAGTGTTTCATAGCCTTGGTGGTTTCTTCTCCCATTGATCTGCTTCCTAAAAGAATCCCAGTTACTCAGCATCACTTCCTGTGAGATTTTCCAGGCCCTCAATCGTTTCCTTTGCCTTCTCTGAACCCTTGGAGCCTCCTTCGCGTTCACCGTTCCCGCGCTGTTCCAAGGGAGACCCTGGCACCCGGGACGTTGTTCCCCGTGCTGGTCTTCACCGCGCGCTGACGCCTGGCTTGTTTGCAGCCGCCTCGCGTCTCTGTGCCAAGATCTATCCAGAGCTGTCTAAATTCATCTTCAGTTACTTTTTCTGTGTTGGGGCCGTTAATTTAAAGCTGTCATTTAGCTCTCTAATTAGCATTTTTTGCCTTTATCTGCTCTGAACTTTGCCACTCTGCTGCGTGTTGACTGAGAATATTTAAGTTCTCCTGACTTCACCTAGGAAAATCCTATTTATGTTCATCCACCTCATCACGTCTCACCCTTGTCTACCCTTCTCAGTTGATTCATAAGTATCTCTGGGACTGCGATACACCGATGACTCCATTCTTACCTCAGTGAAAAATACTTTCTACTTTGTATTCTACTTTGTCACTTACTTTTGACAGAACTTGGCGGCTTGCCTGGTGAATATTTAGCACCCAGCCTCTTGGGGCATCTGAAGGTCTAGATGGCATCAGGTGTTCTCCTTTGGTGTAGCATTTCTTGGACAAATTAATTGTAACGTTAGCGCGACGTGTTTCCGCTGTGACAACCGCACTGGCTGGAGCCGAACGCTACCAGCAGCCTGGAAGGATATTTGTGATGAGTTGTGGGATGGGGGGAGTTGAAACCATCTCTGTTTAGAAAGGAGATACGAATAAAGGCCTAATCCCAGGGGATAAAACACTTCTCTGGAGAGACTGTGATTTTTGTTTCCTGCTGTAACGTGATCCTTCCGCTTCTGCTTTTGTAAAGATTCACACGAGTTCCTAAGGGGGGGAATAGTCGTTCATTAGCTTCAGTCTTCCTGGGTCTTCCCAGATCAGATGTTACTGTGAAGGTACAACGTTTGGTATCTTGTATCCTTTGAATGAGTACATTTTAATAAACGGTTGCATATTTTTACAATAATTTTCCAGAAGTTCTTCTGTGGCATTTGACAGCGGTTTTGGGGACTGAATTTGTCAGGTACTGGAGGGATGCTATTGCTGGAGACCTGATTGGTGGCAAAAAATAAACATCAAGTCAGAGCTTCAGAATACCTAAAATTAAGGAAAATTAAATAATTACATGACCACTGTATACGGCTTGCTGCTAGGCCATGTCTTTTACTTTGTGTCATTGGCTTGTGCCGAAACAGTCTGTCCTTCCACTGTTCTTACTACATGGTGTGTGTACTACTGGGTGTATGAACTCCCCAAAGTACTGGGATGTGGGGTTGTGCCCTTGGCTGTTTTCAGCTGTGCTTGCCGAGGGTTCACATACGGCTGTCTCCCAACAGTTAGTTTTTACCTTATCAGAACTGTTACGTGTAATTGGTATTTAAAAAAAAAAAAAGTTTTCGGGTTGATCCACACAAAAAATGTAAATACATTGCAAGATGGAGGTGATTTCCCCATCCACTCAGTACCTGGCCATGCAAGCACTATCCCAGGTGGGTAGTATTTTGAGTTCAGTTTTAAGTGAACCAACTTCTTGAGTATGCCTAAAATTCTTCTGTGAGGGTGAGGACATACATAGACAGATAATCTCTGCCGCTGTTGACTGCCAGTGAGATTACAGGTGATAATATAGAGGTTTGCCTCAGCAGGCAACTAATGGTTCTTCACTGAATTATAGCGTATATCCATAATTGGTCTTAAATTTACAACTGTGGAGCCCAGTGGCAACACTAAGATATGAAGATATTAATGTTTCCCAATGGCGACACTAAGCCGTGTTTGCTGAGCTGCCAGAAACTGTCGGAATATTTCAGATGCCGTGAAGTCTGTTTTCTTGGTAGCGTATGGGCTGACGAAGTGGCTGAGTGGGTTAGGTGGGAAGGGACCTCCGGAGGTCGGTGGTCCGACCTCCCGCTCTGAGCAGGGCTAAATTCAGAGTTAGACGAGGTTGCTCAGGCTCTCAGTCAGCTGAGTTCTGAAAATCCCCGAGGGTGAAGGTTACACGGCCTCTCTGAGCCCCGTCCCAGGGCTGCCAGCCTCCAGGGGAGATGCTTTTCCCGTAAGTCCAGGTGGACTTTCTGCTGCTGCACCTTCTGCCCGTTGTCTCCTGTCCCTTGGCTGTACTTCTCTGAGAAGTCTAGCTCCATCTCCTCGGTACCCTGCCTTTGTCAGAGGGTACAGTCATCTAGAGATTAAAACACCTTTCCCTCTGTTTGGAAGCCAGTATTAGAGTTGTGTGAAGCGCACTATAATTTTCTTAAAGTACCTTGCAGGAGTGGGAGTCAGGAGACTGGAGTCCAGATTCAAAACAACCTGAGAATGGTACAAGCATGTACAAAACCCAAAACAACTAAATATCTCGCTCAGTGATCAGTTAGCTTCAGGGGTGCCCAAATGCCTCTGGGCGCTTTCTGGTTTGGTCTGGAACTTTGCGGGCTGCTGTAGCTCTGCTCTCCGCGCTCCTGGAACAGCCCCAGACAGCATAGCTGGGCAGGGACCTCCTGTTGAAAGAATTTCTTTTTGAGGAGCTTGAGCTCACTGGTGATCCTTTGACATCCTTGCCCTGAATACCATGTCCTTAACAGAATGCAAAGTCAGGTTAAAATGAGTTGAGTGATGTCCGCTTCCGTAGAAAAATCTGCTGCTCGCAGTGCAGGTCTGGCCCAGCTGAGCTGAGCTCACAGCTTGCTGCTGCTGAGCAGAGCCGCCCTGTTTTTGTCCTCTGTTCGTCTTACCCAGAGCCGCATCCCCTTCCCCTCGCCGTGGCTCTGATGCTCGCTGTGCCCTGCCCTCGCCGAGTTCTCAGAAAGGGCACCGTTTTGTCAGGGTGGTGGGTTGACAGGGGTGATGAGCCAGCTCAGGGTATGGGGCTGGCACCTCCTGGAAGGGCCGGCAGGACGTTGCTCGCAGTGGCTGTGAGCCAGACCAGACTGGGTGTGCTCTCGCTCTGCCTCTCTTGCGTGGGACGGCGGAGGGTTGTGTTCAATTCCCCTCGCAGCCTGAGGGCACTCCAGCTCCGGTGTCTCTTCTGCTTGCCAAGGGATAACCTTGCCTTGCTCCCACCAGCTGGTTGCCTGGGTCCCTGCGTATGGGTCTGGCTCTCCAGGGCTCCTTCTGTGCTGTTCAGTCTCTTCTTCCTTCTCGCAGAATGGCAAGGAGTGTTGTCCGCATTTCCCACTGCTTGGGCAAGTTGCTTACCTATGTCCAGATGTTTTAAAAAAGGCAAATGGGAGCTGCTCACATTTAGGATGGTCCAAAGCATCTGCGTTCAGATGTGTTGGAGCGGGTCCAGAGGAGGCCACGAAGATGATCCGAGGGCTGGAGCACCTCTCCTCCGAGGACAGGCTGAGGGAGCGGGGGCGGAGGTTCCGGGGTGCCTTAGGCGCCGCTGCCAATGCCTGAAGGGGCTACAGGAAGGGTGGAGAGGGGCTTTTCACAAGGGTGTGTAGTGATAGGACAAGGGGGAACGGCTGTAAACTAAAAGAGGACAGATTTCAATTAGATACTAGGAAGAAATTCTTCCCCATGAGGGTGGTGAAACACTGGCCCAGGCTGCCCAGAGAAGCTGTGGCTGCCCCCTCCCTGGCAGGGTTCAAGGCCAGGTTGGATGGAGCTCTGAGCACCCTGGGCACCTGGAAGGCACCTGTCCCACGTTGGGTTGAGGCCGTGGATTTTCCCAGGTTGTCCCAGCCTTGCTCGGTGACTCTGGGAATGTTGCTTCTCCGAGATTCTGCGTTTCTTTATTTGTAAAATGGGATTGCAGAGTCCATCTTGCCTTTTCACTGTTCCAAGATCTGTGGAGAAAGCATCTTTGAGAGCTACGTGAGTTTCGCGTGTTTACCGCTGCAAAGCGTTATTCTGCATGTTCTTGCAGCGATTCGTGGGACTGAAAATTTGCTTCTTCACAGGTCAATCGCTTTAATAAGGTGGAAGACAGAGCAATCTTCATTACTGATCGACACCTTTACAAGATGGACCCCATGAAGCAGTACAAAGTGATGAAGACCATCCCCCTCTATAACGTAAGTACGAGGAAGGAGAATTGCATCTCGGGCTCTCGTAGTCATGGGCAGCGCATCTACCGTTTAGCGCCATTCTCATATCCATAAAATGCAAAAAGACCTTGGTTTACAATTTTTTATGTATTTAATGTCTTTAAAACAGTTATAGTACAATTATCTACAACCGTGATGCATCACGTTAGCTTTTAATTTCAGTGCATAAAATAAAAGCTAAAACGCAGACTGCTTATCACCCTGTCTGCTGTTCATTCTGCCCTTTGGTTTTTTATTTGCTGCACGCTGCAAGATCTTGGCCCCATACAGGGTTTGGCATTTCACAGCAGCTTATGACACAGTGTCTGTGTCTCTGGGGGTTGGTTTGATCCTTCGTGTCGTGTTTGAATTTTTTTTTTTTATATTTGTTCATGTTGAATGTAAATCTTATCAAAGCTACATTCGGAATTGTAGTGAGGGATCTGGCCTTCGGGGTAGCAGACTTCAGCTGCCAGTGACAAAGCAGCAGATTATCACTGGTAGAAAGGGGGATGGGGGAGAACCTCGTCTTAGCTCTTCAGCATGCTGGAGTGTGGATTCAACTGCTTGTTTGTTTTCCTCAGCCTGAGGTAATGCTACTACGGTTATCTTAAACCTACAGGACCTGGCTGGGTCGCTCGGAAATGTCGCACGCAGATTTGTTGGGACGTTTGCATTTGGAGAAATAATCAATCTGGCTGCCCCGTATTGCTAAAAGAGCAGAGATGGGATTAGGGTAACGGTCAAAATCTGATCTGCAGATGTGGAGTGAATGATTAGCTCAGGCTGCATCTGTAAGGTTGGTTTTATAGGTCCTCTTCCAGCCTCCTTGCTGGTCGTCCACCTAAGCCGTGCAGCGACCGCCCAGCGCAGCGCCTGTGGAGCAGCGTGCTCGGCTGCCTTGTTTGGCTGCTCTGAGAAGAGTGTTCGCTGTCACAAAGCCACGTCTCCACAGCTGTGTCTCTTGTTCTGAAAAGACCTTGCTGCCAGGGAGTCAGCAGCTGCAGGCCATGTTCCTCAGCTGATGTTCTGTTCTACTGACATTATCTCTTAATTGTGCAAAATGAAATTGTCAGCAGATTACGCTGCCAAATGGCTGACTCTTGCTTGTTCAGGTACACAGAGACTCTAAGCAGAGGGTTTTTCCTACACAGGTGGGGTTTTGTGGAGTATCAAGGTGAACTCCGGTGGACAGAGTGGAATTTTGTCCCCCACAATTTCTCACTATTAGTTTTCTGCCCTCTTGCCTTATGCAAAATGGCTAGGCCACTGCAATTCACTTATTACATTAGTAATTACAGGTAAATCCGTGTTATTATTTAGCTTTAGAAAAACGTCTGCTTTACCTGTGTGTCTGATGGGTGGAGCTTGTACATTCACGTCACAGCACGAGACCAGGTCAGTGTGTCGGTAACCGAGACGTTTTCCTCGGAAACCCTCAATGCCTTAGAAATTAAAGGAGGTGAGCAAGTCAGATACAGTTTGTAGGTTGCCTGTAGAATATCTCTTACTGAGAAATGTTAGGAGTTACTGTTTTTCACAAAACACAGGTGTCTGAAATAGAGTATCCATTCACACAGAGCGCTGTAGCGCGGGCTGTATGGTGGCTGGCTGCTTTGCCTTTCCTCTGGCAGCAAACCAGTTAACGAGCTGTGCATATAGGTCTCTCTCTCTTCAAACACATTTCCGTGGATATAAATCAGCTTTATTTGCAGATGTGCAGTTATTCCCTTTAGCAGCCTACCACAAGGCTGCTTGACTGAACATTTGCCTTGACCTGAGCACCGTGAAGTGGTCCTGGAGTACTTTGCACAGGAGGGATGGATCCGAAAGACCCTTCACGGCCTCATACGGGTGTCAGAGTAATGTTCCAGAGTGGAGATTTGATGAAAGCTATTTCTGGGAAAGGCTGTAGTGATAAATTTCTGCTCTGTTGGCCACAGCCTCTCCTACCTGCTTCTCCTGCACTGTGGTCCTGGGGAACAGCAGAAAATCTGCACGTACACACCCGGATTGCACCGCAGTGCTCGGGCGAGCTCACTGATCCCGGTGATTCGCTGCTGACCCCTCACTGCGCCGCGGGAAGAGGGGAGAGGACGAGGGAGTCTGGAAATGTGTTTGGTTCATACCCAGAACGTGAAATATTTGTATTTCTTTTGCCAGGATTTCTTAAATTGAACTCTGGCAAATAGTTAATGCTATAATGCAGCTGTTTTTTCCTTTTTATAATTATGTTTTACATTTTGTAACTTATTGATTTGAATGTGTGTTGTCTGTCACCTCCTGAGCTGCCTGGCACACTCTCGTTTTTCTGCGTGCCTGATCCCTGCTTGCGTGGCAGCCCTTCCAGTGTACGGGGAGGTGGCGTGAGCAGCCGATTAGCGATACAGAGATTCCTTCCCGTTTGGGCAAAGAACAGTTGTTTGAACTGATACGAACATTTCCGAGAAGCAAATGGGTGGTAATTACACCGGCCGCGATGTGTATCGGTGTATCAAATATGTCCTGCTACAAAGATCACTGGGGAGGATGGATTGCCCTTCCGATGTGTAAAGGTGAACCCGGCTGAAATTCCTCTGCCTGTTCGCTGTGCTGCTCGCTGTCAGCATTTCAAAAGCCCCCTGTCAACATGGCAACATCCATGGGGATGGTGTTTCCATGGAAATCTCGTTGGAGACGGTCAGCTGATGTCTGTTATGACCAGAAACTAGTTTTTGCTGAAGAAATCACACCCCAGTTCCCAGTCTCCTTTGACTGTGTTTACGTGTAACTGGTTTCGGCACAGCCCCTGACGCGTGCCTGCTCGTCCCGGGCTCTGCGTTCTGGTGTGTTGTGTCCTGCCTGCGGAATCTGTGGTTTTGTGCAAATGATGACGAAGCAATAACTTGCCTTTCAACCCTGACTGTTTCACTGTACTGAGATGCTGCTTTGGGGGATTTTCTGTGTGCGGGCGTTCTGGCGGATGCCTCAGAAGTACCAATATACAATTATCTTTTTTGTTCTTACCTGGGGAGAAGATAACACATAATGGCAGAAAGGAATTAAAAGGCGACTGAGCAGCAGAAAGGATCTTGCAGCTGCCTTTCCCAGTACAGCAGTGAATACAATAAAGGATGCTCTGTGGAGGCTGAGAAGTTTCTCTTGATCTTCAAGCAGAGCTAATATTAGTGTTTGTAAATATGGAGATAAGCACCTTCTCTATAATTACTTCTTTTGTGTTATTTTTATAAGTTCAAATAGTCGTGTGGGGAGGGGTGAAAAAAGAAAATTTTGAATGGCTCTTTGACTTCTAACACAGTTGTGTTGAATAATTAATGTTTAAATAGGTTTTTCAAATCCAGAGATTTCAACTTGTTCATCTTTCAGACTCCGTGCTCATTGAAAACCTGGATGGCAGTGGTCCCTCTGGTGCTGTTGTGCTCACAGGATGTTAGTTAAGCATGCAAATTAATTTTAAGGGACACTATAAACCCAGGCAGCTGTTAATGTCTGTGCATGAAGTGTAGCTTGTTTTTAAGTGTTCGTAACCTCAAAATAGCATGGAGGGTAGGGAATACCCTCCGCCCGTGTTGGGTGTGTGCAGCAGGGAGCAGGAGGTCTCTGCTGGGGGTTTGGAACCCCAGCGGTTACCGCAGCTCAGACAGACTGCTGTACGCTGATCACACGCCAGCACAGTGGGAGTGATGCTGAACTTGGGTAGCGTTTCGTCCAGAAAACAGGGCTTGCACCGCACTGCGGAGTGTTGGTCGTGGCGTGCCTTCCTGGGCCGCTGCTGCTGCCTGACCTGTGTTAGCCACCCAGAGCTGCAGCAGGCTGCTTGGAGAGAGCGCGTGGTGACTGCGAAACCAAGCGCACGGATCCCGACTGTTTCGGAATGTGATTCGTGCTGCTGAAAGGAGTGAGTAGTCTCCAGCTCGGCTGGTGCTAATATCCTTTCCAACACAGGCAGTGGGGTGACACAGAAAGCTGTTTCCTCTAAGAAGGGGATGATGAGACTTTCATTTCCGCCAAATGGTACATCGGAGCCTCTCACTTCTAGAAGAACGTGGCTTCTCTGCACATCCCTGGGTGACTCAAAGGAGTCGTACAGCCCTCGGGACAGGGAAGCTCTGCTCTCTTCTCTCCCTGTACTCACCATTCCTTTGCCTCTCTGCCTTTTCTTTTTTGTTTTCATTTTTTTAGCGCTGGTTTGTTAAATGTACTTACCTCTTGATGTTTCTTTTGCCATCCTTCTATTTTGTTTTGCCAGCAGAGATTTGGTTTTTACGTTTTCTAATATTCATCTGAATAGCCTGTACCCAGATTGCCGATGCTAAAAATGTGCAGCTTTTGCTTTGCTTTGTGAGATGATGAGGACAAAGCTTTTAATGTGCCAAGTAACAGTTACTTAACAGACAAAAAAGAAAAAAACAAAACCAAAATAAAGCAAAAAAAAACCCCCACATACAGAAAACAAGACAAAGACCCCACACCTTTTTATTTTGTCAGAACAGCAAGACCTTAATCCATGCCTAAATACTGGAATCATCACAGCCTTGCAGGGTGTGCAACTTATATTCTTCATCAAGATGTTCAGCCTTTCAGTAAACTTAATTCTTACATTATTTGCATACAGTTGCATTCCCAGCACCACGTATGTGAATTTGGAGATGGTTGTTGGCCGTGCTCATGGTTATTTCTGTTCAAAGGAAACCAACAATAAAAGCAGGGCTGTGGCTCTGCCCCTGAGCGATGAGGTGTCATCCAGTGTGAGATTTTGGGGACAGCAAGCTCCCGCTGTTGCAAATGCAGCTGGGGCCCTCTTTGATGGGTGGCCGGTGGTTCGGGGTGGGCAGAAGGACGCTCCAGGTACACGGGAGGGTGCTGCTAGTGCCAAGAGTCGCTCAGAGGGAACCCAGTCTGGCTGGTGACATTTCCTGGTGCCTTCGAGACTGTTGACTTCCAAAAAAAACCCTGTCATTGCGCCTTGACTTTTTCAGCGTGTGGGAGGGGTACTGAGGACGTGCATGCTGCCGTTGCCCTGAGCTCTGGCTGAGAACAAGTGTTGCGAAGCAGCAAAGATAGATTAACATACACAGCATTTTTCTTGCTTTCTCTTCGCAGTTGATAGGACTGAGTGTCTCCAATGGAAAGGACCAGCTCGTGGTCTTCCACACGAAAGACAACAAGGATCTCATTGTCTGTCTCTTCAGTAAAGAGCCCTCTAACGACAGCAGGATTGGAGAGCTGGTGGGAGTCCTGGCAAGTCACTTCAAGAGGTCAGTGGTGGGGATGGATTTTGTTGAAAACTCAGTCTAGCGTGCCAAATCAGAAACTTCCCCCGAAGTCATTTTGATGCCGGTCTTGAGCTTTGTCTGTGTTACTTCACGGTATTACTAGGATGCCAGAACATCTTTGTCCTTGCAGTTTTGGGACATGCCTTTTTAGCTACAACACTTTGCTTGCCCTTTCTGCCTTCCCTGTATGTTTATTAGAGCATGGGTTTTTGGGGACGGATATCACTGGCGGTGCATTTGGAGTGTGTCGCGGTGTGTCCATACTTACAGCCAAACTCTGAACGTGTAAAATTAAGATACAGCTATTCCTTTCTCAAATGGCTCCCCCTGCTCCCAGTGTGATTTATTGCTCAAGCTGTAAAATGTCATCCCTGTTTCCTGAAAATTGTCTCTCTTGTAAATCAATGTGCATGAGCTGTTTTACTGGTGAACTGAACACTGAAGTGGTTATCTTGCATTGAGCTTCTTGTAGCTACAGCTGAACTAGCAATAATCACCTTTATACCGCAGAGCCAGTTCGGGACGGTCCAGACAAGCGTCACCGCAGTGACTGCGTTGCAGGCCAGCACATGACAGGAACTCTGTAGAGAAATGGGGTGGGGGGGGAACAGACCTGCAGAGTTGTTCCCCGACTCCTCCAGACCAGATTCTTGGCAGGACTGATGTTGATCAGCATCACATGCAGCGCTGGCTTTTGCTGTTCACAATACCATGCTTCATTTATGATCCCTGAAAAGGGGGCTTTATAGGTAAATACTCATAAAGATATGCAAGTAGCAGGACAAGGAGAGTGAATTCAGGTTACGTTAGGTCCCTGGGTAATTTTTTTCATGAATTCAAGAAGAGCGTGCGGGTTTAGCCACTTCTCACACTGCTGCGCAAAGCTCACTGCTGTCTGTCCTGCTGGAGCAGGCAGGTGCTAAATTCACTTCATATGAATTCTCGGCATCGGCATAATGTGTTTGGAGAAATTCAGTGCTGAAAAGCAACAGAAAACATTCTCTGGTTTTGCTTCTACCTAAATATAGTGTGGTTTCAAAGGCAGCTATTCCTGAAGGCTCAGGAGATACACGCCTTGTAAAGCAGCGCACTCCATTTTGGGAATCCTGTGAAGTAGCTGGAGTTGGTCCGTGTCTGGCGCGTTATGAGCCCAGGTGACATCATCTTCAGATGGCTGATAGTCCTCGGAGCCTTAACGAGCCTCTAATGTTGGGAAGAGCCGCGAACCCGTTGATTACGCCTCAGATCCTGTATGTTCAGTGTTCAGACTGCCCTGCTTTGCTGTTCCTTTTGCTCGGACGTTACTACGAAGTTCCCAGCCTATTCGTCACGCATCCAGTGTAGCTCGGGGGGGACACGTTCTTCATTTCAAGAAAGCATATTTTAAGGGTGTAAACTATTGATTTTCAATTTCTTACACTGATTTAACAATGACATTTTTATCTTTAAAAAGAATTCATTTTTATCTAATCACTGTCTGTAGCAGAATGGCGGTTCAACATGCTGTTTAATCTTCACTTAACACAATATTAGCATTTTTTTAGTGCTTCAGATGATGACTCAGCACAGCTGGTTAAATGGGAGAGCTGATCTAAAGGCCCCCTTTTCTCCCAACATCTAATGGAAGTTACTGGTTTAACGATAATGTACAGGAACAGCTCATGTTTAATTTTCCAAATATCCAAATGTCATGGTTTCCTGCTTCAAAGCAATATCTGTAAATCAAAATAAAAGGAAATACTCTTGGTTTCAGCCACTTTCCATTTTCTAAGAGTAAGTAAAGAAATCCTGTCAGTGAATGGGATTAGCTGATCCCTTGCTTGAGAGGCACTTTGGGAATTCCTCGTTAAACGGGATTAGCTGCAAGTCACCGTGTGCCTCATGGCAAGCGTCGGGTTTCCCTGTCCTGCCTGTCAGAAGGTGATGGCTGTGAAAAGAAAGTGGAGCCAGCAGTAAAATCTTGAGCCTGAAAGTTCACATCGCTGGGTGACCCTGTAATGGGACTTCAGAGCTCTGCTCCGCCTGGGCTGGGGGGAGCAGCTCCCTCGGGTGAGGGGGGTCTCGCTTGCTGTCCTCTTGGAACATACAAACTCATTTCCAGCCACCCCCATATCAGTCCTAAAACCCCCGTTACGAGGTTTTAGCAAGGGTAAGGTTGCACAGCTGCCCTTGGTTATGTGTAGCGTAGTAGGTAATGATATTTAAATACTGGAGTAATAAAATAATGTAAAACTCGATGCCGTTCTGTGTTAGTGTGTAGGAACGAGGAGGAGGAGGCTGGTGATGACATCTGTTCTGAGGATGCCTAAACCTCCTCATTCAGGTGCTCGGTTTCAGGTTTTATTGTTTTCCCAAACTCTTTGAACTGGGAACTTCAATGCCTGACACATCATCTGTTGCGAATTTTTGGAAATCTTCCCCAAAAAATAGCTGAGGCAGAAAGTTTCGAGGTGATGCCGTTAGAAGCTGTGTTCTGGCAGCTGCTTCGGAGAAGTTACGCTGTCCCTGTTCTTAGGCAGAAAGGCTTCGCGGTTGGGAACATACTGCCTGAGGTCACATCTTTTCGCTTCGCCGATGGAAATCTGCCTGAAGCTGCATCTTTTACAAATTATTCCTGGTAGGAGTTTTCTTGCTTTCAGGTTGTGGTCACAAATGAGTATTTATATAGCATAAAAGTAACACGATGCTTCTATGAGCTATAAAATTTTGGAGTAGCGACTCTGCTCGTTAAGACAGTGAATTAAATGTAGTCGAGTTAACGGATGTTTGAGTCCTAACATCTCAGCTAGATTTTTTTTTTTTAAACAATGCAGTTATTTAGGTAACTGAATTCCCAGCAGAAATTATGGGAAAGCCAGCTGAGGTGCTGATGTAGCGGCCACAGCGAGTTCGTGTCTGCCTGCAAAGCAGTGAGTAGACGTGTCCGTGAGCTGGAGTTCACCTGGGTGTTCTCCTCGCTGTTCTCTGGCTGCGGCTGTCTCGCCCTCACTGATGGGCATCTCCTGCTAGAGCCCTGTGCCTGCCAGCTGAGAAGAGCTGTGGGTCAGCAGAGCGCAGGAAACAGCTGGAGAAATCCTCTAGCAGCGCAGTGGGGGGGGCAGTCCCTTGCAGGAGCAAGCGTGTGAAATTTGGATCATGGGGCTCTCTTGTGCTGCTTGGCAGGAGGAGAAGGTGCTCTGAAGTGATGAGGGCAGCGCGTTGCTCTTGTTGTTGGTTTGCCAAAGCTCTTGCTTACAGGGTGAGGGATGCAGCTCACAGAAGCTGTGGATGTGGCCACAGTGTCCCTTCGCGTGTTGGAGCCCATACCCCAGAGAAAGGGACCTGAGGAGCTCTCGGAGGAGTGAGGGTGGACATCAAAGGGGAGGATTCTCAGCCAGGAAAGGACTTCTCCTTTTCCATCTTTTACAACCACATTGCTTCACGGTCCTTAAGCCTCTAGAAGGTGCCTCAACTGATCAGTCCAATGGATTGAGGACTCTTGCTGGACGTACTTCAAAGCTGTATTTCACTGGAGAAGACCTGGCTGTAGCTGGTTTCTGAAGCACTAGTGGCTGTTACTCTCCTCCTCTTGCGGCTCTCACACGGCGCGTGTCGCCTCCTGTGTCTGGTCTTCCCCGCAGCGGGGGAGTGCCATGATCTAAACACCATGGGTTGTAAACGCGGCTCAGATGTCACCACCGATGGTGACCGAGACCCATCCTTTGTTCCCAAGCACTGCGCTCCGTTCTGCAGCACGCCCTAGCTGAAAGAAGTGATTCTTCTTGTCTGTGTTAAAACGCACTCCGGGTTTTCTGTCTGCTTTACCCACACAGTTCAGATCAGTGTGTGTCAGTGGCCTGCTCTCTTCCATGCTTTCTGTTCCGCTAACCCTGGCCTGTCTGCGGCCGCAGTCGCTGGTTTTCTTCCAGGATTGCTGAAGGGAAGGGGGAGTTAAAAGAACAGTAAAAAGCAATCCCTGAAGAATTCCAGCAGAAAATCACTTGCCTGAGGATAATTTTGTATTTTCCATTGCACTCTGAGACCTGTCAGCCGATTTTAATTATGAGTGTGCACTGGATCAGTTTTCTTTAGTTCTGGGTTCTTAGACTGGCGTGCCTTGGAGCCAGCTGCATGGGCGCTGCCACGCCGCTGACCAAGCAGTATCTCACCAGAATGGATCTCAGACCAGGCTGTAGGCTCTGCTCAGGCCAGTCACCCTGTCCCTCCTCCACACAGGGCGCTCTGGCTTGGCACGAAGGCGTCTGGAGGAAGACTGCGTTCCTCGGCTTTCTCTTTCCCGTGCCTCACGTGTCGTCGTTTTGCTCTGTCTGTGCCTTTCGTTACGTTAGCTGAGATGGCAGCGCTTTGTCTGATTGCGGAAGCGGAGAGGTTTGGTCATTGGACTTAGTGTCATACGTACATGTATCATCTGTGTGTAAGACAGGAGTGAGAGTGTGCATGTAGGATTTATACCTACATGTGTTAAAAATTGGGGGAAATTTATGTATATACATATATTTATATAGGCATATATGTAAAAATGTGGAAAGTATATGTTTGTACGTATATATAAATATATGTAAAAAAAAAGGAGGGGAAATCTGTGCCATCAACCTTTCCAAACAAACTGAGAGAGAAGCACGTCTGGTGTAAGGTGCAGAGTTTGCCCAGGCTTCTGTATTAAGCAAGATTTGCGTGGGGAAGTGCAGCCGTACAAAGTGCACCTTCCGTCGGCAGCGCGGTGGCACACGGGGGTCTGGCTGGGACTACGGCTTTGCTGGGCTTAACGCGGTGAGCAAACGGATCCTGGTCCAGTGAGTTCACGGTCTAAGCAGGCCGGGGAGCCGGGGGGGGAGCAGCAGCGTTGCGCTGCATGGGGGGAGCGGGGGCTGCTCGCCCCTCGGCACGGAGAGAGGAGAGGCCCGAGCTGTGCTTGGGGCAGTGGCATGCCCAGCCTCGGGGCGACCGCTCATCTTAGCCCTGCTTTCGGTGTTCAGAAAAGC